AGTAGCCCCATCTAAGTTGTATTTACCTAGTTTATTGATAAGAATATCATGAGAGACTGTATCAAACGCCTTACTAAAGTCTAGGTATACCACATCCACCGCTTCTCCCTTATCCACAAGACTCATTATCCTATTAAAGAAAGCTATCAGATTGGTTTGACACAATTTGTTCTTTACAAATCCATGCTGGCTGTTCCCTATCACCTTGCCACCTTCCACGTGTTTACAGACGATTTACTTAATTACTTGCTCCATTATCTTCCCTGGCACAGAAGTTAAACTAACTGGTCTGTAGTTTCCTGGGTTGTTCTTATTTCCCTTTTTATAGATGGGCACTATATTTGCCCTTTTCCAGTCCTCTGGAATCTCTCCTGTCTCCCATGATTTTCCAAAGATGATATAGGAGGTAACTGAGCCTCTAGCTATCAGCTCCTTCAGTATTCTAGGATGCATTTCATCAGGCCCTGGTGACTTGCAGGCATCTAACTTTTCTAAGTGATTTTTAACTTGTTCTTTTTTATTTTACCTTCTAAAATTACCCCCTTCCCACTAGCATTCACTATGTTAGGCGTTCCTTCAGACTTCTCGGTGAAGACCGAAACAAAGAAGTCATTGAGCATCTCTGCCATTTCCAAGTTTCCTGTTACTGTTTCTCCAGCCTCACTGACCAGTGGGCCTACCGTCTCCTTGGTCTTTCTCTTGTTTCTAATGTATTTATAAAAAGTCTTCTTGTTTCCCTTTATTCCGGTAGCTAGTTTGAGCTCATTCTGTGCCTTTGCCTTTCCTCTTGTGCAAGAGGGTTTTTTTGCGCAAAATGGCAGCTCAGTAAGTATGCAAATGAGGCGTGGCGATATTCATCGCCGTGCCTCATTTGCATACGTTCTTGCGCAAGACTGGCCAGTGTAGACATAGCCATTAGTTTCATTACTTTTCTTGTTTAATTAAAAAAAGGTTTTTCCTTTTTTACAGCAAGCCTTTCGCTATAAGTCCAAGATTCTTGGAACGTATAGCAAAACAACTTAAAGCAGGAAATTTTTTTCCTACAGCTGACTTCCATTTGCACAAATTGGTTTTTGTTTTTTGGCATGACTTAAGAGTGGGGAATGGGAGGACATACAACGCATCAGTTCCTACAGCATCAACGACTTTAGTGCAGAACGGATGTATGCTAGGGCGACTTACAGTGGGGATGCCCTGTACAAGTACATGTAATTGGTGCTTAATATATACATATTTGACATTCACACACAGACAGGTGCAGAAACAAGCATAAAACTGTTGAATAATTGAACCTCTCCTTCCTGTTTACACCAGCCAGGGCTTCACCAGATATACCTCCTCATAGTAGGTCTCCATAGCAATCCTCATCTCTTCCAAATTAGTGGTCTTCACATCTGTCTGGAATTTGCTGAAAATGGAAGAATATGACAGTAACTTCAGGACACCTGGGAAAAAGAAGGAATGAACCATAATGGTTTAAAATATCTGGGAAGTATGTAGCAAGAGTCACTTGTGGTTATGGCTTAATTTATCTTTCTCAAGGAGTCAGAGACTCTAGCTTGAGAAGAAAATGGATGTCCAATTCCTTCCCCATCTTGTCCAATATATTTCCTTGCCCCTCCAAAGAGCCATACTTGATAGTGTTGTCTTTCTCTTTGCATTGCTGTTCCAGCTTGAGAATCTTTTGCTTCAGTCCATTGATTACCTACCCAAAAGGAACAAACACAGCTCGTTAGTTCCAGAAAAATCTCAGAATCTCCTGCCTGTTTCCCAGGAATCCCGCTTCATCTTTCTGAATCTAATTGGAAATATCTAGCCTAATACATAACCGGACAAAACAAACTATAAGCGTTAATGCTAACCTTAGAGAGAGCAAGTTAAACCTACTGCATAACAAACATCAAGGTACAATATATATAACTACATTAAGAGCTGTGTGCAAAACACTACTAATACATACACATAAAGTCAGAAATGTAGGGTTAGAAAGGACCTCAAGATGTCAACTGGTCCATCCTCCTGTGCTGAGGCAGGATCAAACATGCCTTGACCATCCCTGACACGTGTTTGTCTTATCTGTTCTTAAAAACATCCAATGAGGTGAATTCCATAACCTCCCTTGGTAATATATACTAGTTCTCAACTATCTTTATAGTAGGAATTGTTTCCCAATATCTAAGCTAATTCTCCTTTGCTTCAGATTACTTATCTTTTTGGAAACTGCATCACATTGTTGGCTCATCTTCAATTTGTGATCCCCTATAACCACCAGGTTCTTTTCTGCAGTACTACAGCCTGGCTATTTACTTTCCATTTTGAGGTTGTGCATTTGAATTTCATTCCCTAAGTGTAGTACTGTGCACTTTTCTTCATTCAATTTCATGCAATAACTCAACAAAACCATAACCCTTGAAAATCCCATCCATTCTTTGTTTGGGAGTGTGGGAAAACTGATGGGAGAGTGAAAATGTACATCAACCTTGCTAAATTCAGGGCTATGAATGAGTGGATGCATTCATACAAAACATTGATCCTGAAGATGAGGAAAGGCTCTTTGAATTGCTGCTAATTCTAGGCCTTTATTACTGATCTTTTATCTGACAATAAATAGATAGGGGTACTGGTAGGTGTGGTAATAACTAGACTGGTCCAGTCTCACATAACTAGGCTTCTGGTCCCGTCTCACATAGAATCACAGAATCATAGAATACTAGGACTGGTAGGGACCTCGAGAGGTCATCGAGTCCAGTCCCCCGCCCCTGAACCATTTCCAGAAAGTAATTACCAAATGGTTCACAGTCATGCTGGAAGTTCATGAGTGGACTTTCACAAGGATCAGTGTTGGTTCTGTTCAATATCTTCATCAATGATTTAGATAACTGAATAAAGAGTGCACTTATAAAGTTTCCGGATGATACCAAGCTGGAAGGAGTAGCAAATGCTTTTGAGGATAGGATTATAATTCAAAATGATCTGGACAAACAGAAGAAATCTGAGGTAAACAGGATGAAATTAAATAAGGACAAATACAAAGTACTGCACTTAGAAAGGAACAATCAGTTGCACACATACAAAATGGGAAAGGACTGCCTTGAAAGGAGTACTGCAGAAAGGGATGTACGAATCCTAGCAGACCACAACTTAAATACGAGTTAACAGTGTGACACTGTTGCAAAAAACCCAAACATCATTCCGGAATGAATTAGCAAGAGTGTTGCAAGCAAGATACAAGAATTACTTCTTGTGTTCTACTCCACGCTGATTAGGCCTCAACTGAAGAGTACTATGTGCAGTTCTGGACACAACATTTCAGGAAGGATGTGGACAAATTGGAAAGAGTCCATTGAAGAGCCACAAAAATTATTAAAGATCTAGAAAACATGACCAATAGGGAAAAATGAAAGAATTGGGTTTGTTTAGTCTAGAAAAAGAGAAGACTGAGGCTCTGTCTAGTCTGAAAGCTTCTTTCAAAAGAAGGTTTTTTTTCAGAAGAGATATTCTGAAAAAAATTCTTTGGAAAGGGAGTGTCCACACACAAAAGCGATCTGCTTTTTCGAAAGAGAGCATCCAGACTGATTGGACACTCTCTCACATAAAAGGCAACCCGGAACCACTTCAGCCAGGGCTTTAGGTCACTAGTAGCTTCTGAGTGCTGGTGCCGGAGCCTTGCGTGCTTAAAGGGACCCCTCTGGACAGCCGTTTCTCTGCTTCTGCTGCTTGCTTGCCTACCTCTTCGAGAGACAGCAAAGCTCTCACAATGCATGCTGTGGTTGCCCCGCTTTTTTTGGATGCCACATCTTTTCTCTTGGTGTCATGGAGATGATCTATGGTAGGGTGACCCTATCGGTGGAAGATGTCCGCCAATATGTGCGGGTTCATTTGCCACTTGTGCTCGACTGGAAAGGCTCTGCTGAGTGAATATGCCATTGTATTCAGGATGCCTGGAAGATGCACCGAGGTGATAATTGGGTTGTATTTCAGGCACCAGTTCCAAAGTGCTATGGCCTTTGTGCAGAGTGCTCAAGATCGGGCTCCGTCCTGACAATTTATGTAAAACATTGCTGCAACATTGTCTATGTACAGTCTGATGTGTCTGTTGGCGAAAAATGGGAGGAATTTGGCACATGCGTTCCTGACTGCCTACAGTTTGAGGATGTTTATGTGCAGATTCTTGTCAGTGCTGGACCACAGGCCCTGGCAAGTATGATGGTGCAGATGGGTGCCCCATCCTGTACAAAATGCACCTGTCATCATGGAGATGGATGGTTCTGGTGGGTGGAAGGAGGCTCATCCCACAAGACATAACGGGACGGTTGACAAAAGCCTTTGATGTCGACCACAGAGCGTCCAGACTAGCGCACTGAGCCGACAAACAGCTGATCAGCTCAGCGTGGCAGCCATTTTAATTTAAATGAAGTGGTGATTATTTAAATCGATGCTTCGTTTGGGTATGTCTAGTAAACTAATCTACATGACTCTGGCGATAGAGCCATGTAGTCTAGACATACCCTTAGAGTGGTCCCTGAAGAGGGACAGGGAAGCGGGGTGGAGAAGGGGTATGGACACAAAAGGGATAAGATTGCCTTTTTCAATTATCTGCAGGATCCATCTATCGGAGGTCATACGTTGCCAGTTGTTGAGGAAAGGCAACAATCGACGATGGAAGAGAATTGCTTGCATTGAAAGCGTTGGAATAGGTGAGAGGCTCTCTAGACCCTAAACCTGATCACATTTGCTTGTTGGGCTGCTGGACTATTGAGAATTAGTAGAGGAAGGGCAATGTAATTGGTTTCTGCCTCTGTTCTGCTGCTGGTGATCTTGTCTATTGTTATGCTGTGTATATGGCCGCGGGGTATCAAGGTCTCAGATAAGGCTAATACCTATATTGCCTTCTTCTAGGAGCGTGGTTGTGGATCCCAAGAGATCACAGTGCTACTCTGAAGTCCTTCATGGAGTGAAGAGTTTCATTAGTGTTGGCAGCAAACAGCTTCTGGCTGTTGAAGGGCAGATCATCTACTGTAGCTTGAATCTCCCTGGGGAACGGAGTGGAGCTAAACTGCGAGGCCCTTCTCATTACTACTGATGTTGCTGTGGAATGTGCAGCCTTGTCATCGGGGTCTAAGGCGGCCTGTAATGCTGTTCTTGAAATTGTGTGACCTTCGGATATCAATGCTACATACTGTTGCCTCTTAGAATGTCTGCAACAAAATCATTCAGTTTGGTGTAATTCCCAGGGGTGGACTGGCAATCAAAATAGGTCCGGGAAATGGGTTGAGAACGGCCCACTTTTTCACATCAAAGAATATTTTTAAAATTTACTCTTCAACACTAAGTCATTCATAACATCCTCATTATTTATATACAGCAGGTCCTTCTCGCATGACATTAACATGAAGGATTCAAGATGTGACTGTGTAAGACAATTTCGCAATTTGTTCAGAATATACTTCAATTTTGAAAAAGACCTCTCACAGGATACCTGGGTTGCAGACAAGGTTAAGACATATTTGTACTGCAGACAAGGTTAAGACATATTTGTACGCTAGAAAGACGTGCCTATATGCCAGCATGTGCAAATTAAACTTGGCCAAAACATGGTAACAACATGGCAGGCAGTTTTTGCAGGATTTACATTTTTCGAGAGCAGTTTCATCACAATCGTCACTATTCTCAATAGTGTCATTTGAGACATCTTCGGTAAGAGTTGACCTGAATTTGCTCCATTTCCTTCCCAAATCCATCATCTTTGTCTGCAATATTTCTTTTGAGATAGTGTTGCTACATTTTTTTTAACAACTCACTTAATTTTTCAAATGCATTTTAGGGGAGATTGTTTAGAATATTTTCAAAATTCTTTGGATCCAAATAAGAAAATTCTGTGTAATGACTGCGGTATTTTAGATACCTCATATTGAAACTGCTGACTACTCTATCCATTGTAACATTATACACATTTATGCATTTCATTTGAACCAAATTCCCCAGGTAACTTTTTTTGTATTCTAGTCTGTTTTTCTTTAAAATATGTTTCAATGAACATGTCTACATTTCTGATTTCTAATTCTTCATTCTAGTCTGTTTTTCTTAAAGCTCTGTCTTTCGCCCACCAGTGAGTATGTCCAAGAACTGAAATATACTTCATCTTACTAAATTAGCACCACACATTTATGCATAGGTACGATTCTCTGAGAAAAACTGCACAGCTGTTAATAATCCTGAAGAGAGGAACAGTTTCCATCGTAATCTGTGTTATTTCACTTATGATTAAGTTCAAATCGTGTGCATAGCACCACATATACGTTTGCCCAGGTGCAGCGTTGTAAAGCCATGCAGAAAACTCATTATATTCAGCTTACATATTGGCTGCTCCATCAGTAGAGTTACCAATACATTTCCTTACATCGATATTCAGGTTTTTTAAAGCATTGCAAACTAAATCGCACAATGCGTTTCCAGCTGTTGACGTACAGTTGACTACCGCCACTAAGTGTTGGTGGATAGTATTTGTCACATATCTTATAACAATCGAACATTGATTGTGAACATTAATATCCTGCGTTGTATCTATTTGTATGCTGAACATTTCTGCATCTCTAATTTTATCACCTAGCATTTTCTTTAAGATGAGTGTGATGGAATCAATAACTTCATTGGCAGTTGTTTTGGACAACGCCTGCAGATTTCCTTGCCCCTTTTTAGTCACATTTGTGTCATGACGTCGTATGCTTTTTTCTACTACCTCATCAATATGTATTTTAATATCAGATCAAATTTACTAATAAGTAAAAGTAACTCCATATACATTTTCGTTGAGTAATGTATATGCTGCCTCATTTGCACTTCCTCTGTAGCTGTGCCCTCGCTTTCCTTTTAATTGTATCGTTTCAATTATCCTTTGCATAATTTGACGATTGCATTGTAAGTTTTCAAGTTTCTTTCTTGTAAATAAACTTAACAGATCTTGTTAGTTTTTAAAATATATGCTTCAGTAGAATTTGCATGAAATGCAGACATTTCATGTTCTAAGATTCTTTGGTAAATGTGTTTAGTGTGATTTACATCGAATCCAGTGATAAATGTAGAATTATCCAAATTGTTGGTAAATGCAAGGCAAAAAAAGCAAAATACATTTTCTAAATCAGTATTATATGTCAACCAATGACGACATAAACCATCTTGTCAAAAATAAATACTAATTAATATTTCTTTCTCTCTTTCTCTTCATATATAAACTAAAGAAGTAACAATCTATTTATCTAAAACTAACTAATTAACAATTATAATGAACTTAAACTGGTTTTAAAAAGTATAATCATGTAGATGCAAAGAAGCTAGGGAGCACTGCAGAGTCTGTCTGTAGCCATAGACGGTAGAGAAGGAACTAAGGAGTGTGAGGGGAGGGGATCGTGCATGCGTGATGCCTGCAACCTAACAACACCCGGCTGCTTGCGCACACTTACGCAGCCCCAAGGACACTGCTATGAAATCTCCAATCTGAGGCTCGGCAGCAGTGCACTGACCTAACATGGACATCTCCTGAAGAAGAAAAAGGAGTACCACTGTCACAAAAACTCTTCTGTTCTTTTGATTTACTTTCGAAAGAACGCAATTGCAATGTGGATGTAACTCAAGTTTTGTCGGAAAAACGGCTGTTTTTCTGACAAAAGTCTGCAGTGTAGACATACACTGAGAGGGGATATCATAACAGTTTTCAAATGCCTAAAAGTTTATTACAAGGTAGTGTAAGAACAATTATTCTCCTTAACCTCTGATGATAGGATAAGAAGCAATGGGCTTAAATTGTAGCAAGGGAAGTTTAGGTTGAACATTAGAAGAAATGTTGTGTCAGAGTGGTTAATTGTCTAAGGAGGTTGTGGAATCTGCAATGGTGGAAATTAAGAGCAGGTTAGATACTTGTCGGGGTGGTTTAGATGGTCTTTATTCCTGCAATGAGTTCAGGGGATTGGACTTCATGACCTCTTAAAGTTTTTTCCAAAGTCCTAGGATTAATAATGAAGACATAATTTATATGATTGCCTTATTAAACTGAATGTCTCCTTCTATATCTTGGACATTCTTCTATCATTGAAGGTTGAGCTGGAAAGGAGAAAAATGATAATTGAAGGTGCAGGTGAAGAAGCAATTACCCATCTAGTATCATTCTTCTCTGTCAAAGGCTGGGCAAAATCAGAGCCCTACAACAAAAGACAACAAAATCAACTTAGTTTTGTTAAGCTCTTCTGCAGTTTTCTCTGTGCAGATTTTCCTCCTACCCTCTAGCCCAGAAATATGTTCTTATAGTTATTTAAGGATTTTCTATGCCACCTATCACAATAGTGACTAAGTGTTTCTTTTTCTGGACTCACTGGTCTTCCTTCTACTCTACAGATGAGGAGTCAGGGTCATAACTGACACTTGGTGTGCACAGGACATAGCACCCACCATCAGGTAAATAACTTAGGCTATGTCTACACTGCACTGTTCTGCCGGAAAAAGCTACGCAAATTGCAAACTGCAATTTGTGTAGCTTTTTCCGCTTCTTTTTTTGGAAGAGGCTTTTCCGACATTTGGACCGTCTACACTGGGCCAAATGTCAGAAAAAAACCACTTTTTTGGAACATCCCTCCTTCCTCATAAAACGAGGCTTACAGGGATGCCAAAAAACCATGTCTGCGCTTCCAAAAAAATTTCAGAAGAGCAGATGAGTTCCCTGGATGCGGCATAGTTTTTCTGGGATACCTCTGGTATCCCGGAAAAACTGCAGTGTAGACACAGCCTCAGTAGGTGGGTTTAAATTTACCATTAGAAATTACCATTAGTTTCTTCTGAATAAAATATGATATAGGAGTTGTCTTTGAATTTAATTTTGTGCTTCCAGTTAACAGACCAGTTGGAACAGCAAACTTGGATACACAGAACAGAAATCATCCGGTATGTCGAAGCAAAAGCCTCACTCAGTTTTAGGCAGCTAACAGACAGCTTTATTGATCAGTAAAGCCAAGTGAGCCAAACGTGGTCCCAACAGAGCCGGGCCCAGTAAGGCTGGCTAATACAATCAATCCTAGTATTTTATACTCTTAACCAAACAAGTCTGATGCCAGGGCATTCCATCAAAACAAACTTCAAAGAGAAATTGTTATCAGCACAGAATGAAACAGGTTTTTAGGGAGTTTGAGCTTCAGATCAAAATAGTTCATTAACACATTCCAACAGCCCATCTTCCTGGCCTTTCTCACATTGGTGAAGGTCAGTTATGTATGTGCAGAAGCGAGAAACTTAACTGGCTTCTGTTATATGAAGTGGCTTCTAGCTAAATATGAAATGGTTTCTACAAGTATCAGTTGTATCTCTGTCTTAGGCAAGCTCACCATTACTACAAGTGAGATATTCAGAATAGAGATATGATGGGCACAGGGGCAGGACTGACTTAGTATTACCTCCTAAGCTCCACACTTACCCTGAAAGCACTTAGAAACCATATTCAAGTAGGAGCAATCATGTTTCAAACTTTTCATGTCTGAGACAGGGAAAAGAGTGACTAGAACTGAGTTTCCCTTACTGCCTCTCAACAGGCTGACTTTTCAGCTTGACCCTAAAAATTCAAACAAACCACTTCCAACATCTTGCACCAATACTGCCAACTAACATCCTGCTGTCAGCTGTGCTACTGGGAAAGGTTACAAGATTCACCCTGGAAGGATCCAACAGCTGCTCAATTTGTCGATCCTTTCTATTAGTCTCTTCCTCCAATCGTCGGATCTTTGTTTTCATCCGATCCCCCTCACTTTTCTGAGCCTGTATTGTCTAAAATAGAAAAAAAACACAAACAAACAAAAATCACAACTTCATCTACAAATTTTGCTTCAGGCAGGAGAAAGTCAAAGGCACTCTGTGAGCTTTTACAATTAACTCACTCTTGGACACCAAGCACAACACAATTAAAACAGCCAGCACTAATGACGAAGGAGAAGCAAGACGAGGACCATCCCATTGGATTAAGACTGATTAAGAGGGGAGGTTTCAGGGTATGGGGAGGAGGGGGTTAAAAAAAAAAAAGAGACCTCAAAGGCAGGGCAACTTTCTTGAAGCCACCGGAACAGCCAAAATAATGGTTTTCTGGTACCTCCATCTCACCTACTCCTGCTAACCAAGAGCCTGGTTTAGCTTTGCCTGGAAGTCAAACCCAACACCCATCTTCATATACACATAGACTAGGGACATAAAATCTCATTTTATTAGTTAACTGGTTAACATAACGTTTAACCAGTTAACTACAGATTAACAGGGGTTGGGCAAGGAAGGGGAGGCACAGGCTTGAAAGCTGGGAATTGGCAGCCTCCTACAGGATGGAAAGGTGCTGGCAGCCCTCCCCCTTCCCTGCTGCCACTTCTGTGACCCGGCCCTCTTGTGCAATGCTGCTGACTCCACAGCCTGTACGCGCTGGATGCTAGCAGCTCCATGGGGCTGGAACAGCCTTCAGTCTGTGACACGTTGCAGGCTGCTCCCAGGTACCCGTTAACCATTACCTGGTAAGCAGTGTTCCCTCTGCTACAGGGCAGCCCAGTTTCACAACTGCCCTGCTGGGAGTTGTCAACTGCCTGCAGGGAGCCCTGAGCCTCTGACTGGGTGGGGCTGATTAATCACTTGTGAAGCTGTTCTGCCACAAAGCTTATACGGAACTCTGTTGATAAGCATCTCCCGTTAAGGGTGATGTTTACCAGGTAACCAGTTACCCATTCACAACCCTAACATAGACCCAACAAGTTGACTTTTTGATAAAAAATAATCAGGGGCTGCTATGGAAATTCAAGTGGCAATGCAACCAACCCCAATATATCCTGTCAAAGCCTACATAGGGGTTTGTTCAGTCTATACTTCATGGCCTCCCACACCTAGAAGAAATGACTGTCACACCACCAGCAAAATGAAATCTCTTTAAATAAGCCTGGTTTCAGTTCAGTTCTTACATTTCTGAAGTGAAGAAGCTTAGAAGCTCTTCCAAATGTAGGCTCATACCCCTTTGATTTGGTCAGGGCTAGGTACCCCAGATGAATGAGACAGCATACAGGACTTTTACTATTCACATAACAAAGCAACTGTACCTTCTTCAGTTCAATAATCTCATCATACATGTCTTCCTTTTCTTTGTAGTCAGGTGTTCCAGGGATGTAACCTACAGAAAGAGATATACAAACTAAGGAAAAGCCTTAACAACAGGAAATCTGAAACAGGCATTTCTTTTTCTGAATGATAATTTCATAGATAATAAATAATGCTTACAGAGCATTAATTTCAGATTATCAATTAATACAATTAATTAAAAATAGAAAAAAATATCAGTTGCTGCAGCAGCACCTGAAATCCCTGCCAGATTTGGGGGGCATTTTTTCTTTAAACAAACAAAAAAAAACCCCAAAAAAAACCTTCCCCCACTCCCAAGCTGTTGTATGAAATAACCACACAAAAACAAGAGGAACTAAGGGACCCTACAAGGGAAAATACTGCAACCAACTACTTACAAAGCTCTTTCAAAATCCATACCATACTTAAGAAAAATAATTTATTGTTAAAGCAATATTCAAGTGTGTGTGCTCCTTTTGATTTTCTCATACAATGGAATTGATTTTTACAGAGTAACATGATGTATCAAACACTTTATAGAAAAAAACAACAAAAGGTAATCTCTAGATAGAATTTCAGACAGGCAGCTAGAACAGGTGTGAGCTGGATCTTTGCCAGGGTTAATCATAGTTACCTGCACAGCTACAGATATGGGCGATTGCATCTTCTGTTGGCGGCGGATTGCTGTTCCTGGCCAATGGAAGCTGTGGGAAGCGGTGTTCCAGTCCACACTGCTTCCTGCTGCTCCCATTGGCTGTGAATGGTGATCCACAGCTAACAGGAACTGCAGTCACCAGAACCTGCAGCCATGCAAGTAAATATAGTGTCGGTACACTGGGTCTAACCCTGGCGAACAGCTGCCATGTTATTATCCACCCATGAGCTAGAAACAAGGAGAGCTAACACCATGTGACCAGCCAGATCACAGATACCACTTTGAGAGTTTGTTCTATGGGTTGGAATTAGAGGAACTGCTTCCTTACCAAAACCAGGACCTGAAACAAAACACTACTGCCCTAATTTCTGAGCTCACCATTGCTAGCAGAACGAGCATGCTTTGGCTTTTTCATGCCTAGCGCTTCCTTTAGATATTCTGGAGTGCTGCTGGAAAGATTAGTCCATGCATGCCCCACATCAAAATCTGATTTCAGAGGCTGGCTTATACCTGCTAATAATGAGAAAAAGAAAAAACAATGGTAACTGTACATTCATTTAGGGTGAATTGAATGCAACAGCAAAGCCCAGAGCAAGCTCTGGATGCCTATGCTAGTACCCACTAGAAACAAGTAAATCAAAAACTGTCAAGAATTTGTAAGTCAAATTCATTCCTAATAAAGGAACCAGATATAAGCAAAATAAATTCCAGGTAGGTATTTAATCAAGGATACATTTCTTTTTGGAGGCATCCCAGAGCCTGAAGGTTCTCAACACAGAAGAGAAAATTGTGAAAATATTGATCAAACAACAAAACTATTTTAAGAAAACTTTTAAATATAAAATATTATGATAGACCAAATTTCAACCCTGGAGTAAACAAGATTAAGTTATATTGGACTGAATGGAAGATGCATCCAACTTAAACCAGAATTGCATTATAAACTTTATGAAATTCACATGCAATTCTGGATTGAATGTCTATATTGATACCTTGCTTCAGAGTTCCTAGCCACATCTGCCTTGGTGTTTTAGCCATTGGGTTCTCACGGTGTATGGTTCCTGTTCCCGTCAAGGATCTCCAAACTGCAGCCTTTTTAGGGTACACATATGTACTAGAGAGATATGGAGATTCTAAGGCAAGAGAAAATATTTTAGTGATGCAATATACCCGCTGTAGCATTATTGCAGTTGATGTCACAAAACAATTTTTTCCGGCTTGAACATAATCCCTAGTACAGTCTTCTGCATGATCAAAATACATTTTATAACATCTTAAATGATTAGTTTCCTACAAATAACAAAAAAGGCAAGTGGAATATAGTCACATCAAAGTAAGTTTCCTTCCAGAAACAGTTGTTACAAAGATAAGTAAATTTAGAAAAAGAGGAATATGACTTGTGTGTGTGTGTGTGTGTGTGTACACACACACACACACACACACACACACAGGCAGTCCCCGAGTTACGCGGATCCGACTTATGTCGGATCCGCAGTTATGAACGGGGTTTGCTGCCCGTCTCCCTAGTCTGCTGGAGACCAGCAGACCAACGAGACGGGAAGCAAAGCCTCTGAGGATGCCGGCAGCGGGACAGTCGCGGCGCGTCTGGGCTGTCCGCTGCCCGCGTGCTCCGCGGCTTTGCTCCTCGTCTCCCCAGACCAGAGAGACGGGGAGCAAAGC